AAAAACAAAACCCGGGAGACACGAGCAGCGGGGAAGGTGGAGGAGGAGGCTGCGAGGGGACTGGAAGAAAGGGGGAAGGGGAAGCTTCGGTTCTCCCCTTTGCACACTGATTTGCAAACCCCTTCGTGTTTTGACTCTTCTGAGTAGCTCCGCTCAGAGACTGAAGACGTGATTGAAACCCAAACTGACGCAATCTTGACGCTACAGGGCTGAAATCAGCACCTTTCCCACATCCCATCCCCCCCTCCCCAACCACTACACCCTCCCTCTCTCTCTCTCTCTCTCTCTCTCTCGGTCCCTCCCCTCCCTCCCCATTTCTGGAGATTGAACATGCACATTGATTCTTTTAACTGCTCTGCTGCAGGATATGAGCTCCCACCCTCCATTGGACACAGACAGTGAAATGCTAATGTCTGTGATTCAGTGCAGCTTCTATAATACATGTGTATGTCTGCTTTGCTGGGGTAAGATTTATTTATTTGTTTATTTATCTATCAGCTGGACAGGCTACAACAACATGAAGGAGATGTCAACTCAGATGGTCCAGACACCTTGGCTCCAACTGCAAGACACACATTTCTCCTGTGTCTGATATGATACACTTTCTGGATTTGAATCATGAGAACTCCTGATGTGCCTTCTTCCTGCCCCTCCTCCCTGCTTCTTCCCACCATCCACCCCCACAAAAACACTCAGCCCCCACTTTGGTAATATATTTCTCTTTCTCTTGTCTTGACCTTCCTGTAGATCTAGAACAGAACTTAATCTACCTAGATACTTCTGGATTTTGCCAGGTTTAGATGTCTGTCTCCCAGTCTGGACTGAGAACATGGGGGAGTGGGGGTGGTGGCAGGGAGGCAGGGGGAGGCTGGCAGGCAGGAGGAGTGGAGGGAAACAGAACAGAACAAGAAAGCAGAGCTGCCTGTAACTAGAACTGCTACAGCATATAATAACCCAAGCTAAATACTGGTGCAACAGAGCTGCAAAAGCCAACACCTAGCATCTGACTCCTCCTGGATTCAGAAGGAATCATAACAGCCAAGTTTGGAGCCCAACTGCTCATTCTGCTGCATAAATGGGAAACAGGTGTTGTTGCTCTTCTAAATAACAAAATCCAGATGCAGGCATAGTCTGTCATGACTCTGTTCCACAATTGGCCACTTGGAAGGTAGTATGTCTTGGCCCACTTTAAACCATATTCTTGCTTCACACTGAAGCCAGAGAAGCTCCTTGGATTTCAGAAAAATTAAAATAGGAAGACCACAGAACCATGGCAAGCTACTGTTAAAATGCAGTTCAATTAAATGCCTGGCTTACCCTGTGAGTTGAAAACCTATTGGTTAATATTGTTTATGCTTATCTGCTTCTCTTTCACCTCCAGCAACTTGACCTTGGTATGCACCTGCACAACTCTTCCAGGAACAACCATATCCACTAGTCCAATCTTCATTACATACTATTTCATTTAATAAAACACAGAGAACAGTTTGCCACTACTGTCACTCCTACAAACACCTAGAGTACAATCAACTCAGGTATTAGAAGACTGCAGAAACTGTTGTTTAGCTCTTGTTTGTGTTTTGGCAGCACAATTTGATTTGGGATGTCTGGATTCATGTCTTGGCATCAATCCAAGCAAATCTGGCTCAGCTTCTCTCTACTTTCCGGCAGTCCTCTGTCCTCCCAGCCCTGCTATCCACTTCTCTTTCTCTGTACAAAATCCAGCCTTACTCAAAATGTGCATCCACTGAAAGTAATTACATTTTATTTTAGACTGCATTCCAGCTATACGATTCTCCAGGCATGACTGAAATAAGAAAGATACTTAAACAAATTTATAGTTAAACATGTTTAACTGAGATGTTAAACTATTGTAAGCTGTTAATGTGTCTGGACAATGGACCAAGAATCAATATGCAGTATAACTTGGTACTATGTTTATCCTATTTGAGCTGGGATATGGTGAGCATATATATTATGTTGACACTTGAATTATTGTCAATAATATTTGAAGCTTTTTATTTTTATTTTGGAAAGAAATCCAAGACATTTCTGTTGATACATACAAAATTTAAGGAGCATGTGAAAATACAATGATTGATCCAAGTCCTTTTCCCTTTAATTTTTCAGATGTCCCAAAGATACATAAAAAGCTTTTACACAATTTATGTCTAAATAGTGCACAGAGGTAATTTCCTTCAGCATTCAGGGTTTTCTTTTTTTATTTTTCTACACACCCTTCTTTTTTTTTCTCCTTTTCCAAAATTCCTGGTAGTTCATGCTAGATTTTAGATACTAATTAAGACCTGTATGGTGCTGGGTGCTGTACAAACATATCATAAAGAGTCCTTCCTTTCTTCTCAGTTCTGTGCATGGGTAGCTCTTTAAAGCATTATGGAAAAGGTTTCACAATACCTGCTATCTGTCTTTAGAAACATGGAGCTACCAAGACTATGTATATACATAAGCATGTGTAAACACATATACAGATATGCAAATAAATACTTTTATCTCTTTATTGCATTGGTCTGTGAAATAGCAAATAACCATTTTTTTACATCACTCATGAACCTTCTATATTTAATTACGTGACTCCACTTAATGGAACAGAGTGCACATCACAGAAAATACTCAAGGAGGAGGTAGAGCATTGAGTTGCTGACACATCTTGAGGCAGACGCACTTTTTGCTCCATGTGTTGTGCAAGCACCATCTAGTGCACATCTTCACACACACAGACACACAGAATCGCTCGGTT